CTCCCCTTCAATTATGAGTTCCGCAACAAGCACACTCGCTTGAAGCTTTCCATACACGAGCCGCAAGAAACTGATTTCCTCTTTCTTACCTACTGGTTGTGAGGAGAGCGGGAGAATTTACTTTTTCCTTCATTTATACAGGATGCAACAAGCATGACTCTGGCGTTTCCCTTGTAGAAACCCTTTCATAAAAAGATCGCGAGAGCCTATACTGCGTTCATTTCCAAAAGGGATCACTCCAGAATTTCACGCATTTTGATAATTTAAACAATTCATCTGTTCTTCTCTTCTCTCCTTCCGTCCATTGACAGAGATACAAAATTTTTCGGACTCACTGACGCGACCGCCTCGATGCTCTCAGTGAAACGGTGCCTTTTTATCCTTGATGCCAGCTTCAGTTTTACCAGTGGACCCATTTTACCACATAGGTACATACCTATATAGTTAAGGAGTTCACTGTTGTTAATTAATAATAAACGAAATTCATGGGTAGATTTCAACCATTTTAATTACACATTCCAACATTTTTCACTACGTTCTACAAGCCAACGTTTCGGAGACAATTCTCTCCATCTGCCCTGAGGATGGAGAGAATTGTCTCCGAAACGTCAACTTGTAGAACGTAGTGAAAAATGTTGCAAATTGTAATTAAAATGGTTGAAATCTACTAATGAATTTCGATATATATAAAGAGTTCACGGTTGTAATAATTAATAATTTAACAAATATCACGAGTACTTTCCAACCTTTTTATTACATTTTGCAATCTTCACACTACATTTTCTACACTTCACCGACGTTTCGGAGACAATTTTCTCCATCTTCAGGGCAGACAAATTATTCATAACTGAACGAGGAAAAAACATGACAAACATCAACACAAACAATAACAATAAGCCCCCGCCGCAGAGAGGTAGTAGGTACTCATACAGAATGAAAGTTTTCAGAGATTAGAAAAATATTCCTCAAAGTGAGCAAACTCAATTCTAGAATTTATAGCATTTTGGTTATTCAAAATACATAACCCCTCCAAATTCAACCTAATCTGTTCATTCTTCTCTCTCTTCAACACCCTGGTGTTATTGAAATCAAAGGAATGACCCTTTTCTCTCATGTGTTGCTTTAGCGCCGCCACCTCATGTTGATTAAACTTATGCTCATCCAGCCTTTTATGCAGATATTGGGATGACTGCCCTATGTAGACGCCTTGACAATCTCCACACGGTATCTCATACACCACTCCTGACAGCTTTTCAGTTGGGATTTTTGACTTCAAACAAGACTGGAAATTTTGTAAATCTGATTTATTAGAAGTGACTAAAGTGTAGCCATGCGGCTTTAACACGGATCTAATCTTTTCTGAGCAGGAGGAAACGTACGGACATACAACAAATTCGGTTTTTTCGAACAATTTTGGAGGGGGAAAGCCATTATAACAAAATTTCACCACATTCTCAAATATAGAGTTGACAAGGTGCTTGGGATAACAACTACTAGTACAGTACCTAGTACCTCTCCACGGCGGGGGCTTATTGTTATTGTTTGTGTTGATGTTTGTCATGTCTCCTGTTATCGTTAAACTGGTCTCTTGCTGCGACTGGACTGGGTTTCTGTGTTTTTTCCTCGTTCAGTTATGAATAACTCGTCTGCCCTGAAGATGGAGAAAATGTCTCCGAAACGTCGGTGAAGTGTAGAAAATGTAGTGTGAAGATTGTAAAATGTAATAAAAAGGTTGGAAAGTACTCGTGATTTTTGTCTAATTATCAATTATTACAACCGTGAACTCTTTATCATATATATATATATATATATATATATATATATATATATATATATATATAAGATGAAGAGTTCACGGTTGATTTTTGTGTATGTATATATATATATGAAATATAAGATTAGCGAGGCACTGACTGGTGATTACGTAATCACTGAGCCGGTAAACAGACCAAGAGATAGTTAGAGGGATCTCTCTTCACACACACTAGTTGGACTTGTGTGGCTGGAAAAACTGATGGTAGGCAACACTAAGTTTTTCAACATCAGCCCGATAGTTACAAGTTCTATTGCCGTTTTTTATAATGCATATCATTTCCAATAATGTTCTGGCGCAGTCATTAGACTCACTACCTAAAACTTTGGTGTTTTCAAAATCAAAAGCATGACCGCTGTTATTTTTTTGCTGATGAAGCGCTGTAACTTCTTTTTTATCGTATTTGAGGCCATTAAGTCTTTTGGACAATTGCTGTTTTGTTTGGCCAATGTAGATAGAATTGCAATTTAAACAATCTATTTGATAAACGACACAAGAGAGTTGTTGGGTAAGCCTTTTGGATTTTAAAGGGGACCAAAGGAACGAAAGATTGTTGTAGTTGGTGCTCACTACAGTAAAATTAAATTTTCGCAGCATGGATGAGATGTTCTCAGAGAGGAGCGGTACATAAGGTAAACTTATGTGTTATGTGTGTACTGTGAAAAACAGATGTGTTTTCAGTGTATATGTTAGCGGCAAAACCCGATTCCAGGCAAAACTAGTTTTGCCTAGGCAAATCTAGTTCTGCCAGAAATGAACCGGCAAAACTAGATCTGCCTAGTCAAAACCTGTTTTGCCTGATATGCGTAGGCAAAACTAGCCGACCGTAGGCGGAACTAGTTTTGCCTGCTGATGTTCAGGCAAAACTGATGAGGTCCGGCAAAACTAGTTCCGCCAACAAAGAGGCGTTGTGTCCAACCCCATAGTGTACTCTTAGAAACTCTCAGATGAATAGTAGGAGCCAGGTGGACCTGATTGACTACCAATCACAAGCAGATGGCCAATTTAAATTAGTGTTAAACTACCGGGACCACCTGACTAAGTTGTGTGTTTTGAAGCCTTTAGAATCTAAAAAAGCAGCCACGGTTGGTCCGGTGTTATTAGATATATGTATTTTTTTAACTTTTGGGGCCCCTTGTATTTTACACTCAGACAATGGACAGGAATTCGTCAACGAACTTGTGACTCAACTTGCTGGATTATGGAAAGAATTGAAGATTGTCCATGATAAACCTCGAAATTTGCAGTCAGGGCTCAGTGGAGCCTGCGAATAGAGATGTGCAGGACATATTTTAATTTTTAATTTTGAATTATTATTTTTATTTTAAATTTTTGATTTTTTTTTTTAAGTTTTGGTTTACGTAGTTTTCCTGGTCCGGCAAAACTAGTTTTGCCTGGTCGTGTTCAGGCAAAACTGACAGCGCTCCGGCGGAACTAGTTTTGCCTACTTTGCGCAGGCAAAACTAGATTCCTCGGAAAAATACATTTTTGCCTAGGCAAAACTAGTTTTGCCTGGAATCGGGTTTTGCCGCTAACATATGTATACATATCGACGGTGTAAGTTGGCAATCACATAACTCGGATTGCGACGTCGCAGACTTCCTGTCATACTTTATTTTGTAAACAGAAAACTACTCAACGGCAATTCTTTAAAACTGCCGTGATTTTTCTTCTCCAAAAACTTCAAGGAATGATGTCAATTTTTCCTCCTTTAAAAAAATAAGAAAAAGATAAAGATTTTCAGACACCGCAAACGAGATAAGTATGTGATCGCGAACTTACGCCGTCGATATATAAAATATCAAGAAGTTTCGGAGAATGTGCGGTCTGTCGGCCATTTTGCAACCGATTTCAGCCGCCAGACAGACTGTTTCTCTTTCAGAATGACATAGCGAGTAAAATGAGACCATACACAATATTATGTGTTGCCGGTTGAAATTTGAGCAATTTTTGCCAAATTTGAACATTTCTGGCGGTCTTGAAGCAACCGATTTCGGCTGCCAGACAGATTTATCCTTACTCCGGAAGGTTTCCCGTGTGAAATGAGCCCAATATCAAGTGTTTACCGGGTGTTCCAGAGCACCCGTACACTGTCCTCTTTTCGGAAACGGCCGAAAATTGAGGTTCGGGACGAAAACTTCTGGGGGTAAATCAACCCCAATTAATTCAATGAAAAGATTTGCAGCCCCCCAAAACCCCCTTGGGGGGGGGCGTTTCTCGCGTCTATCAAATAGAAAGGGTATGTTTGACCTTTGGATTTAAATTCTATGGCCAAAAATAAGAACTTTTTGTTCCATACCTTTTTCCCCTGAACCCCCATTTTTTGAAGTTACGGGGTTTTGCTCACATTCAATGCAAATCTAGTACTAAGTACGATCTACCACCTGTAAAAATTTTGGAGGAAAATCTTAACATTTGCTCGAGCTATCGTGACCACAAAATTTAACTTTCCCCTACTTCCCACCCCTACCATTCGAAATCTAATATTTCGATGTCCATTTTTTATCGCAGAATGATTGTCCTGTTCCTTTACTTTTCATTGCAAAAAGTTTTACCCTGAAAACTTTAAAATAAGAGAGATAACCCAGCAAAAAACAGAAAAACCACAATGACACGGAAATACATACATAAATAAACAGATAGACACAGTGATCCAAAAGTCCCTTCCATCCCCTCCAACTTTTTACCTAATCGAGGTAAAGATTTGAAACTTGAAGGATGTTCCTAGGTCATAGGGAGCTACAATGTGGCCCACCTAAAACTTTCAGGAGGGCTCCCCTGGGTGGAAAGGCAATGGACCCCAATTATTTTCTTTCAAATGGGAAGACCCTCCTTGTGATACCTCATTCGAAAGAGCATAAAAAATCGCCTTTTCCAGGAGATAAAGTTTATATTAAAAGTCCGATAGTTACCATCTCAGGATTAATCACTTTAAAAAGAGAATTTAGTCCTCTCATTTGTATTATTCCTTGTCCCTATATTTTGAATTTTATCTAAAAAGGCTACTGTCAATGATCTAATTCCATCAATCTTAGAAAAATAGCTAAGCTGTGACATTTTGACTTCCAAAAATAGACAGAGTATAAAAAGTAACTCTCAAATTTGGAGCAAATCAGTATTTCTAAGAGTAATTTCAGGACTGACTATAAAACGTGTACATGTATGATAAGAAATGATGAAAACTTACATCATGAACCTCTTCAATGGCTCGATATGCTTCAGTTGGAAGGCCTAGGTCTCGTGGTTTTACATCAATGATAACAAGGATAGAGTTAGGACAGTATTTGCGAATGAGTTCATTGATTGCAACATCATTTTGACACAGTTTTGGTCCTGTATGATACCATCCAACGACTTTCTCACGTGCTAAAAAAAAGGATAAAGGCAAGTAGATGAACTGTTTTTGAGGCACAAAATCTTTCATAACAAAATTCTGGTGAATATATTGACGGTGAAAGTGCAAGAGTGTGTATCTTGGTGAGCGACTTCTTCTTACACTTTTCTTTAAATTAAAAAGAATGCAACAGCATTTTTTGGAAATTTCTAGGATTTTTCCTTCTTTACCAGGAAAATGAAAAACGAAAATTTCAAGGAATAGTTTTGGTTCATAATCCTTTGATTGAATAGAATGGGGGTGGAAATTTTGATGCATTGCAAACTAAATATGCTTTTCTGCAATTTCACTGTGAATATAAAGTTTGCATAAGTAATTAAAGGTAGCACAACAATTTCTCTTAATATAAAATATCTCAACAATGTTTATTAAAACAACCACAAAGTTTGAGACTTATTCGGTACTCCGCTATGGGTCTTTTACACACGAGAGACAAGAGCGCAAAGAGAGCGAACTTAGCTAGGTAACGAGTAAAATAGCAGAGATACTGCATTGAGCGTACCAGGAAAGTCTAAAAATTGTCTTTCAATTTAGTGAAAACACCTGCCACATACTGATGATTAAGAAAAAAGGGCTTGCAGGCAAATAAAAGAGAATGCATGATGGAGGCTCAACATGTTCAGGTAATTCTATGTGATCTAGGGACAAGATTCGCCACTACATTGCGCTGCTATGCGGTTTGTGTCTTTGAGAAGCAATAGTTGTCATTACATAGGAACAAGTTAATGCAAGAAACTGATTCATAATGTACGGAAGAATTAATACTGAGTAGAGTGACATCAAATTTGTGTATATTCATTATGTGCTTATACCTGAAACTATGATAACCATTGACTCAATGTGTAAGAGACAGATAGCGCTATAATGACTTTCTCTTACACATCGAGTCAATGGGCAACGTCCGTAATCGTAGTTTCAGACATACATTTGCAACGAGTCTACACAAATTGAATGTCATTCTACTCAGTGTTGATGCTGCTACGCATTATGGATCAGTTTCATGCATTATCTTGTCGCTAATTATTGCTTCTCAAAGATGTAAATTATGAGACAGTGCAGCGTGGTGGCGGATCTCGTCCATAGATCACATAGAATCACCTTAGGGACTAAGGACTGGATTTTAGACATTGCTACACTGGTAGACAGCGCATTAAAAACGAAGAATTTTGGTGCAAACCGCGGATCAATATCTTAATTTTTGACGAAGTTATGATAGGTCAGAGGTCATATTTTGCCTAATTTTAAAAAATCATAACTCCGGTTTATATTATCGTAAAGAAAAAAATAAAACGGGAAAATTCACCAAATTGTGGGCAATTATAAGTAAAAATCGCAGAAATCACTTCAAAGCAATTTAAAGAGGGTGCTCGGGCCCCTAAATATGTCAGTTCAAAAGGTCATACGATGTTCTCGCAAAAAGAGCCAATTTCCCTTAACTTTGCTGCAACATTATCTCAGTAAGTTCAAAATTAGTTAAATATTACGTTTCTGAGTTCCCAAATTTCGGGAAAAGTTAAAAAAAAAAAAAAAAAAAAAAAAAAA